ATATGAGAGCTAGGGGTATAGTTGGCATGCCAAGGGTCGAGGGTTTACCTATATTCTTCGGGACATATGTAATGTTTACCTATGTTCTTCGGGACATATGGACTGTTTACCTATGTTCTTCGGGACACATGGACTAATTACCTAGGTTCTTCGGAACCTATGGACTGGTCCTTCGGGACAATTATACGAGTTGTGGTGATAGTATAACAGTGCACAACCTCAATGTACTCACATACCTTAAGTTCTCACTGGTGTACATGGGCTAATAAAGAGATTAAACAAATATACTGAAGGTGATATGCATATGTGATTTATTATATGGAATAAATTATAGGATTCGTGTATTAGTTATATGAAAGCATATATGTTTTAGTTATATGAACTGTGTTACATGAAGTATATAGTGTTAAGTGTATTTCTTTATGAAATGATATATGATGTGTATAAATGATAAGTATATGATTATATGATAAAAGGTATTAATGATAATAAGAGGATAATGATAAGGAAGAGGATAATAATATATATACATTTATGGATTTGATATATGAATAAAATATGATAGTATATGTGCATGTATGTAATTTCATATATGAAATGTTTTATGATTTTTATTATATGTTTTATATGCCTCACTAAGTCGTAGACTTAGCGTGTGATTGTTTCACATGTAGGTTTTGAGAAGAGGAGGATTGATAAGAGTTATGCAAGACAGGTCAGTTCTCCTTTCCAAAGATCATATCAGAAAAGAAATGTATAGTATGTATTTTGTAATAAGGAAAGTGGTTGATATGTAAATAAAGGATTAAATACGATATGTTCTAATCGGTTTTGAAAAGTCATACGGTTGAGTTTTGTAATGTTTTAAACGTGCTTATGCAAATGACAATTGTATAGTAATGAACAGTTAAATTTTTACGAGTTTCATGAACGTTTTACGAAAGTCACTGTAGCAGTGCATCGATGCACAATTTGGCTTAGAATCTTTGATGCATCGATGCATTGTAGCAATACATCAATTCACAATAGCATTGTTCATGACATTGTTCATTATTGTTCACGATACTGTTTATACCGTATTTTACTATTCATAAATACGATTTTTATCTCAAAATTTTATACCAAACACAATTGAAGAATATATGATCGTATTTTCTTAATATAAGTTCAAATGTTTAGTTATTTTACAAGAACAAAGGTTTTAAAATGTCAATGTGACATCTCGGACTTATATCCGCGTCAGGTATGGGTTGGGGTGTTACATTTAATGGTATCAGAGCTACGGTTTAGCCGATTCTAGGCTAAAAATGAAGTCAAAAGTATTTTAAAAAGTATACATGCCAACACAAAGTGGAAAATTTTCTGATCTGATAGGGTAAGGAGTGTGTTGTCTTGTTAATAGAGTTAAATTGTTATGTTATATAAGATAAGTGAATACCTTAGAATTATTTATGAGATATATATGTTTATATGATATGATAGATTATATGTGAACATATGCAAATGACATATATTATATGATATGAATTGGATGATCATATGCACAAGTGATATGTGATAGAAGAAATGATATGAGCATATGAATATATAAGAGCTTCCAAGTGAAGCACAAGGCGATAGACCTGAAGGTAATAACATTCACTTGCCCTGGCCAGGCAGGGAGAAGAGCGAAAACCTCAGGGAATGCCTGTATAAGATTAGAGAATGATTCATAATGTTGAATGATATTCTGATGTGTTTTTAATTGTATACTTCGTTAATTCATAGAAAGAATGTATCGAAATAGTTAAAAGAGTTATGAGCACCCGAGCTCAAGGCTGAATTTGAGGAAGGTTTTGTTGTTACAGACCTTTGGATAAATGATATGAAGATAATGATAGAAGGTGTATATTTCTCCAAAGTGGAGAAATTAAATTGAGTAGTTTCGTTACTACGTGAGCAAGCTAGAGTATGGTGGACAAATGTCACCATAAGAATGTTAAAAGATTAAATGACATGTTTATTATTTATAGAATTGTTCGAGAATAAGTGAATAAGTGATATGTTTATAAGATGAATGAAATCAGAGTTATAAATTTTAAACAAAGGGATAGTACTGTGTATAAGCAAGAGTGTAGATATGATAAGGGTTTGTATTTTAGAAGAAAGAGTTAGCATTGGCTAACAATATTTCATGATGAAAAATGTGCTGATCATATGAATGTGATATAGTGAAGGAAATAAAGATTCTTATGTTTGAGGGAAAGTAAGGATTGAAAGAGAAGTATAAAGTAATATGAAAAGATCATATGTATTAAAGTACAAACAAGAATTAAGAAATGATGAAAGGTCGGATGTATATGATTGGTTAATTAGGGCTTTTGCCCTAGATTAAACAGTTGTTATTGACTAGCCGTAAGAGTAAAGGTGATAGAGTTAAAAGAATGGAAGAAAATAGTATGAGAGTCTGAAGAAAAGATATGATATATGTTACAAGGAGATTTTGATTTATGGTGGATTAAAGAGATAAGGAAATTAAACGGAAAAAGGAAATTAAAGAGTTAATTATGATAAAGGTTATATGGAAGTGTAGATGATAAGTTCGATATAGAAATATGAAAAGTGTGCAAAGTGATGTGAAAAGATTGTTTGACTCCATACAATATATATTTAATCACAATTGAAGAAGATTGATAGTAGGGTTTTGTTCAAATGATGATGAAATAAAAGTTTGGTATTATGATAAGGTAATTAGAGATTAATGAAGAAATAGATTGATGTATGATATAGAGTGATGAGAATGGATGTTACTATCTCCATGATGAGTAACATTGTATGAATTTTAGAAATGGCAAAGGGAAAATGCAGAATTGAAGGAAAGAAAAGACAGAAATGGATTTGGATTCTTTAGAAATTTAAGGCAAATCATTGATTATAAATTGCGAAGGGATAAAGTTGTTAAAGCAACTTAAGAATATTAAAAGATATGTTCTTATCAAAATGTGCAATGAAAATTAGAGGACGATTTTTCTTAAAAGGAGGGGTGATTTGTAACATCCCAAACTATGGGTTAGTGATCAAATTGTAAAATTTTAGAATTTGGTGATTAAAGTGGAAAATTTGAAAAGTTTAATGATTTATTGGAAAGTATTTCCTGAAGGGTTATTAGTAATTATTGAAAGAGTCAAAGGGCAAATAGGTCATTGAACAAGAATAATAATTAAATAAAAATTTAGTAGGTATTATAATACCCATGTGATGCATGTGTGAAGAGATAAGATTCCAAACTTATCTTCTTCATCTTCTTCTCTTCTCCAACGTGCCCAAGCTAGAGTAAAGGTGAGTTTTATATTTTGTTGATTATTTGTTAATTTTAAGAGTGGGTTTTGATCATTAGATGATAACTAAGCTTAAGTTATCTTAAAATCAAAAGATGAAGAAGTTATAAAAGATTAAAGAAAATAGGGTTTTAAGTGAAATTTGGAATATGAAGGTTTAAATGAATTTGGAGGATAAATTTGACTTGTCATCTATGAGAATAAGAAGTTATAAGTGTTTGAATTAAGTTTGGATAACATGGAAAATTTAGTATGATTGTTGATTTCTATATGGAGAATAGAATTTTGAGGTTTAAGATGAAATAAATAGATATAAATTAGTTTAAGCATGTATATTTGAGTTATATGAAAGGGAATGAAACTTGAAGAATTGAAATTGAAAGAGTGAATTTTCGTGCAATGAACAGTGATTTCTGGGTAGGTGCATCGATGCATGGATATTTCGAATGCCCTAAATCGGTACCTAGTCGATTAATTAATGTCTTTACAGAGAAATTTACAAATTTGACTTTATTTTAGTTTATGATCCCATAAAAAACAAGGATATGAATTTTACAATGAAATATAATAATATTAAATTATTTACTATTGAGAAGAAACAAATACCTCGTAACTCGAGGCAATTAATTCTTATTTCAATCAAAATAAAGAAATATTATAATTCCATTATAACATTCAAATGCAAAAAAATAGATTAAATTAAAATTACCAAGCCTTTTAGAAAGATAAAAATATTTGATTATTTAAAAATATCGAAACCAGATCTTAGATAAGTTCTAACAACCTTTTCTCGACAAATTTAAATAGCCAAAAATTTCTTTTTCTTTCATTCCCAAATTTTAAGGTGATGAGACATTTTTTAGGTTTCACTGTTGGGGTACACTTTCAATTTAAAATCGTCAAAAGCGGCTCTCTAATAAGTTAAGATAAGCCTCTTAAAATAATTTTAAATTAAAAGAGTTTTACCCTTAATCCAATTATGTATTTAAAAGTTGAGTGATGCTCGTGAGGGTATCATACATACTACACGAGGATGTCACATGCTCAAAATTATACGCACGAATAATTACAACCTTGTATACAATTCATGAACATAATTGAGGTTAACAGTATTTAAATTTGGCTAAAGAAATATACCTATAAAAAAAGGTTTAAAATGCAGATTCTAAATGTCATTAGTACTAAATCCTATGTCAATTTAAAGATAGTATTCCACTTATAATATTTAAAATAACAAAATTAAAATAAAGGTCAAATATGCTTAAGATATATACATATGCGTACATGTTTTGGAAATAAAACACAATTAACAAATACCCTTACTATTTGTTTACAGATACATACTATAGCCATGTTACTCATATAATTCTACACATGCACACATACTATAACAGTCTATGGCCCAAATAAAATATTATGATCAGCTTAGAATGGAAATTACTGAGATTGAACGGATTTAATAAATACATAATTGACTAAAATGAAGAAAATAACAGATCTAAGGACCTAAGCAGCTAGTAAAACAAACAAAGACCCTAAAACACAAAAAGTCTTGTAATATAGGCATTAACACCTTAATAAACCCATCAACAAATTATGCAGGAAAACGTCAATCAACAAACACCCAATGGCTAAAATTAAAAGGGGAAAAAAGGAGAAATTTTGACAGACCATGGAGGTATCTTATGCATTAGCAGTTTTGGGAATGAGGGGAATAGAAGAACCATGTTTCCCAGACTGTTTGAACTTGGCCTCTTCCTCACAAATCTTTTGCATCTGCAACATCCTCTCCATGATGAGCTCGTATTCACGCCTCTCATATGAGTGGCGTTTATTCTCGCATTTCCAAGGCAAGTAAAACTCAGATTGGCGAAACTTGTTGAGTGGGATGAGGAGATGAGCATATTGATCTCTGTATAGGATGGAGACCTTGTTCTCCACCATCTCAGCTTGGGTTGCTATCATCTTCTTCGATGAACCATTGACTTCCATTTTTTTCTCTCCCTTGGCTTTTTTGTTCGAATCAAGAAAAAGATTGGGTTATGATGATGGTTTCCTTTCTCCATTTTTTAGATGACAACATTCCACTTTCCTTTTTTTTTACTTTGATTTCCTCTATCATTTGAAGGAAATAGAGCCCCCCCAATCTGATTTTTCTCTCGTGTTTTTATCCTCCCCCTATTACAAAAGGTATTTCCCCTTTCTTGTTGTTATGCTCTCTGGATTATTGATTTTCAAATGGTCCTCTCCGTTGACAGACCATGTTTATTTATTTATATAAGTAAAGCTCAAACAAAAACCCCAGAAAAAAAACGAGCATCTACAGTTGCCCCTCTTTGCTCATTATCGCGCAACGAGAATATAGCAAAGATTAATAGATGGTCAAGTTTCTCCGGCCATGAGAACTTCAAAAGATTAATCCGCTCCATTGCAACTTCAATGAGTTAAGTGAGACTTAAAAAATCTTCGAATGACAAGTCCGCTTCCTATTCTTTCAGGGTGTATAATGCTCGAACAATCTTCAGCAAATGGGACCGTTCCCTATTCTTCCAGGGGAGATCAGGACTTGAACAATCTTCATAAAATGGGTCCACTCCCTATTATTTTAGGGATGATCATACTCGATCTTGATTTGCTTCACTACTCTTCTGTGAAGGCTTAAAATTTATTTGCTTCACTGCTGTTTCGTGAAGGCTTAAAATTGATTTGCTTCACTACTCTTCCGTGAAGGCTTAAGATAACCCAGAGAACTTATCATCTTGCTCGAAAGGCTTACAGATAACCCGAAGGATTTACTCATCATGTTTGAAAGGCTAACAGATAACCCGAAGGATTTAATCATCATGCTCGAAAGACTTATTGATGGCCTGAAAGTCTTACTAAGTAAGAAACTTTGGAAATCACTTTCTTACTTTTCAAAAATTTCATCTTAAAAAAACATTAAATGAGAAACTTTGAAAATCAATTTCTCATTTTTCAAATTCATTTGAAAACATCCTGCCATAAGGTCTTATGGATGGCCCGAATGACTTATCATCTTGCTCGAAAGACTTACAGATAACCCGAAGGATTCAATTATCATGCTCGAAAGACTTATTGATAGCCCGAAGGTCTTACCAAGTAAGAACCTTTGGAAATTGTTTTCTTACTTTTCAAATATTTATTTTTTCAAAAAACATTAAATGAGAAACTTTGAAAATCGCTTTCTAATTTTCAAATTCATATGAAAACATCCTACCCGAAGGTCTTATGGATGGCCCAATGGACTTATCATCTTTCTCGAAAGACTTATAGATGACCCGAATTATTTAATCATCATGCTCGAAAGACTTACTGATGGCCCGAAGGACTTACTAAGTAAGAAACTTTGGAAATTGCTTTCTTACTTTTCAAAAATTTCATTTTCAAAAAACAATTAAATGATAAACTTTCGAAATCATTTTCTCATTTTTCGAAAATCACTTAGTGGTTGGGTAACATGTCCCACTTCAAAAGTAATGATTCCTCTGTGATTAACACCCTATTCTTCAGGTTCTGCCTCTCTAAACATGATTCCCGACATTTGGGTTTTGAATTCTATCTTTGAACTTGCTGGGATTTTGACATCATAAATCTTCTCCTTTCACTAGAAGATTTATAAATAACATGTTTTTAAATACAAATGCAAATGCAATTAATTGTTTCAATGTAATGCATTTTGTTTTATGCAAATGATGTGCTCATGAATGCATAAACAATTATTCAATTTTCTTTTGACTCCAAATTGGGGAATATATCTTCTTCCACTTGATCACTTCTCTTCAGGGTTTACTCAGATATCAATGTAGCAACACATGCTTGCAACTTCTAAAGATCTACCCAATCATCTTGTGGTCTTTGCTTTATGTCTTCATTTCGAAGAAAATATATATTTTCTCCCTTAAATTCTTGCTATGGTTAGAAATATGACTTTGTTGACCCATTTCTATCATTAACTCAATTGCACTATCAGAGTTGTTTTTAGGGACTCTGTTGTTGATTGATACTCGACTGGCTTCCTCTACAAGTTAAGCTCTACTCAATATTCAAGGTTTTCCCCTGACACTCCAAGTTGTAAGACTCATTCTCAATGTCTTCTTGGTCTGAATCTTTTCATCTCAACGTGATCTAGGTTTCTGGTCATGCCCCGATGTGGGTACTCATAGCTTCATTTGTGCCCAAAATATCTTAATCTTGAATGGTCTCAATCTGGTGTCACTAAACAACATTATTGTCAAATAGCTTGAGGGTTTTTCTTTGTGATGCCATTAACACTTAAGAAGTGATCAATTCTTTTAACAAAAATGGCTTGCATTTTTATATGATATGAAATATGCGCTCTTCCGAATAAGGTAATCATATTATTCTTGATTGGTCACACTCTTGCATTTTTCTATACATTGGGATATGTGCCCTCTTTCAAATAGGGTGATCAATTTCTTATTGATGGGTTACAGACAACGTCACAAGGAAATCTTATAAGCTCTATTCCTCATTCATTCTGATCTCTTGGATCACTTTCTTTCAATATTGTGAAATACTTCATTATTATGGAATCATTTATTTTTTTCAATAAAGGCAGAATGAGCCTCACCATCTTCAAGGACCTTTCACATTTGAGACTATCCTGTTTGAAAATGTTTTTTCCTTTCTCTTATTTTAGGGATCAAAGAATGAAAGAATTTTATAAAACATTGCCCCTTAAATCAGACTCACAATCGAATCAAATCAAAAACACGAGTTCACAGAATATCAAAAGAATCAATAGCTCTTTAATGTATTCAGAGTTATAGCTCTTTGACAAGTGTCAAAATTGATGAGTTGGCTTCCTATTTTCTAAGGTTTTGACCACCAAAATGTAATTTGTTTCTCGATCCTTGCGAACATTGCAACATGCCCTTCCTTCTTGGCTTGGTATTTTAATCAGATGCGGAAAAATGACGCAACTAGCATAATCAATTACTAGACTTTCTAGAATACTTCTATTTCAGTTCTCTGAAATCTTCCATTTGTTCAAGCTTCATAGACTCCTCTAGAAAAGGTAGTGCAGAAATATCAGTCTAAAAATGAAATTCCTGAGTTCTCGTGTGAAATTGACTATAGCAGGTGTTCCTTAACTCCCTTAGTCCATCTTTACTGAAACTCCTTATTTAGATAAATTTTCTATTGTTGGGCTAGCTGAATTCAGCTTTATTGTAATTTGCCTTTATCGGGCTAGCTGAAGCAAACACCGAACTGCCACGTACCCGAGCAATGTCATGGTTTGAATAAAATCTATTCATAAAGCCAGATCTTTTGAGTTTCCTCTATAACTAATTGCTTTAGTGGAATAACTTAGTTTTATTATATACATATAATATTATAATCTGGGTATACGAATTCAATTTCTTAAGTTTGTCAAGAAGAACCTGTTATAATCTAGGTGTTGTTGAAAGTCAAGAAAATCTCATCTTTAGAGTTCAATTTCTAAGCAATTGACCTAAACTAGATTCATCTATTCGACTATTCCATCTGTAAATATCATAATCATCATTTAACGTCTTTAACATAAGTGTGGTCTAGTCAGTTTTCTAATATCATACACAAAAAATGCTCCATGTTGTTCACTCCTATACATACCTGAATACCAAGCCTCTTGTTCATTCCCTTACGAGAGGAGAAGGCTATATCTGTCCCTAGAAGAGAAGGGTATGGTGTTTGAGTATATCTTCTGGGGGTAAGGTCCAGGGTCCTTATTTTACCAGTTTTCAATCTTGTCACTTTGTCAAAGAACTCTAACTCCAATCATTCACAGAGTTTTTAATTCAGTCGATAGTCAAAGAATTTCATGTTGCAAATTCAATTCAATGACCACCATCTTTAAAGTAGCATGAGTTAATTTAAATATTCTTACAAAAAACTGAGAAAGAATGAAAAAAAAATTCAAACAAGATACTACAAATGGAATAAATCCTCATAATGAAATTAAATGATATATTCCTAATTAGGATGCCCCATTATTCATCTAATGCAGCGACACCTGACTCAAACGGATGCTATATATTGTTCTTTGATGCCCCACTCGAGCTCGTCATCCACTGTTCCACCAATTCCTCTGTCAACGTCCCATTTTCCATAAGCATCTCTATCTCCTTTAACAACGGCTTACAATTCCCCGTAGAATGCCCCAATGCCCCCAAGTGGAAGTCGCAAGCACTATCTTGATTATAATTGTGGGCAGAAGGGTTTGGTTGCACTTTCACTGGCCTGAGTGTGAGCGACCTTTAATCAAATGGGGGTACAAATCTGAGATAGAAGTTTGGAACACTTTCAAAGTATTTTTCGATCGTGGGATTTTATTTGGTCGGCTCAAATAACTAGCTGATTATTTTCTTTTACATCTGTAGGAGCTCTGGGCATGACATTCATTTACCTCATTAACTTTCATTTTTCCGAACATGGTCTCTGTTACATTTTCTGGAGTAGTACCTAATCCTTGGAGTTAACTTGGATTACCATACTCCCTAACATGTTCTTGATCATCTGTTGTCACCGCATTGAAGGCACAATCAACATTCTGATTTTCACTCGAAGTCTTCATCTTCTCTTGTATAATAGGGTTCTTTAACGATTTCTCACCATGTATCATTGTAACTATCATGCTCATCAACTTGGACATATGTTCTCTGTATTCAACTTGGAACTTCTTTGCTTTATCAATCATTTCTTTTTTGGTTTTTACAAGTTGTTCATGGATTCTATAAATCTTACTAACACGTGATAATATCTCATTCATTGTTTTCTATATTTCTAGAAACACACCCCGAGTAACTTCAATTTTCTTTTAGAGATTCTATCACAGTATCCTTTTTGTTAATGTTGACATTAATGAATATGAAATACATGACTATGAATGAATAAGAATGTGATGCATTGCAAAAAAGTAAAAAAAAAAACGCGTATGCAAAATACAAGGTGTTGATCCTGGAACGACTCCTTATAACAATTTTTTATATTAGAAACAAAGTCCAATTATTAGGTTGAAACATATCATAGATAGATCTGTACTATTTCTCCTATTTGTTGTATATATGCTAGCAACTCCATAATCTTCTAGTTTTCTTCATCCTCAGACTCTAATTCTTCACTTACAACAGCAGCTTCCTGAGATAGGTTAACCAAATATTGAGCTATTACCCGAGCATGTTCTAGGTAGCAAGCAATAAGGTCCTCTCCTTACTTAAATCTCGTCTAAGCTTGCTCCCACCAATAATGTCGCTGTATAACCCCCTCGTACAGAACTATCGGAAGCTCATTTGCTCCCCTCTGAAAATCCTGAACTATAGCCTCAAGTTGACTCACTCGTTTTTTCAGACTTTCAATCTCCCCACGACTCGAGCTACATTCCCTGCTTCGATGTCGTCGTTATGCGGCCTCTAAACTCAAAATCTTCCCCTTCAACTTCTCATTCTAGGCTTGATTCTCTTGTAATCGCTGCTCTAAAGAACTCTTTTCTCTTGATAAAATCTTAACTTGATGCCCACTTTGCTTGAGCTCTTCTTGACTTTCTCTGACTTCTCTCTTTAGGCTCACCACTTCTTGTCTCCATTCGACAGATGACTTACTCAAACTAGAAGTTGTCTGAGCTTTTACCATTCGCTGATAAGATAACTGAAGATCGTGAAAGTCTAGCCGAAGTTGCTTCTTTTTTTTTTCAAATCGATATACTCTACCCTTCTGAATATCAATCTCCAACCCTTTTTGATACACTTTATCTAGCTTCTGCAAAGTCGCTCTCCATTATTTCCTTTCTTCCTTGAAATCACGCTTAGCTAACTCTAATGGAGATAGCACCATTCTCAAATGTTCTTCCATAAGCTGAATGTTTTTAGGATTCACCATCGGGATGTTATCATTTACTCGATCGCCTCTCCACTACTCGTACTCCTGAGATAACTTGAGATCATATGTGAATAAATTCACACGACGAGTTTGTTTCCAGCCTCAGCAACCCCCTTGACTTTACCCTTATAATGTTCTTCTTTGAATACAAAATCTGACCCTACCAAGTCCCATGTGGCTGGAATGAACTGCCTTGACCCATACTGTCTAGAAACTAGCAGAGGTACATACCCGACAGAACCCCAGATATCTAGCAATAGAACCCAATCTCAATCTCCACATATGTAAAGTATATCCGAAGATACATTCCATGAAGCTCACCACAAAATATCACCTTCCCTGATATCCTTGAAGATAACCATTCATTTCTCTTCGGTGAAACCCTAGGCCATTCTTTAGAAAAGAAATCCTTCAAAGGTGAAAACCCGTCCAAAAACACTCATCCTGGTGCCCTTTCAACGTGTTTGGAAAGACTAAGAAATATTACTAACAACATGGGAGCACACCCTATAAAACGTCGTTCTCTTTCTTGTCTGCAAGAACTCAAAGAACGAAACGTGTCGGCTAGAATGGCTAGAACAAGATCCACATGCTTGTCTAATCTTTCGAACAGGTCGACTACTGATACATCTACATATCCCAACACATTTGAAAAAATAACGAGCTCATAAATCCCTATAGAAAATAGGTCAAGCTTCTTTTTGACGATCAATTATTTCTTTCAGAGCAGTCTAAGAGATGTACTCACTTTCTCCTTTCTTCTTAATGTTTCTGACAACCCAATCCTCTCTCATTCCGATCATCAGTAGCAATTTCTTATTAAATGAAGGAGTGACTGGAAACTTGGAGTATATTCTACCCATTTGGGACCTCAAACAACGAATCAAAGCTCGATACTCCTCTATTGTTGATGTTAGATCCACTCTACCAAATGTAAAATAGCTAGAAACGGGATTCCAGAATTGCGCTATGGCTCTAAACAGATTCCAATCAATTGGAACATCCAAAAGATAAGGAATATCGCCATACAACTGATAAAAACATCTCCTTATCGACTACTTCCTATCTTCCACATACCTCTTTTAGCTCACTGAGGTCTTTCTGACGTACATTGTTGTGAGTGTAACCAAACAAATCCGACACGTATCCTGGCATTAAACTATCTCCGTTGGTCAGCTGGGACTGTTCTGACCACCTCAGAACATCTGCATTATCTTCAAACTCTTTCTGAACCTTTCGTTCTATATTACTAGCCTTCTATATGGACATCGATCCCAAATCAACACCATAAAATTGATAGTGCAATGCAAAATAAAAAAAGAAATAAAGCAAAAACAAAAGAGAATCAGTTAGTAAACATAAAGCAATTAACCAGGGATAATAATTTGTTAAAGAATCCTACCCACACATGTTGGCTACCCAATCATGCTTTATCAGATCCTACCCAAACATGATATCTACCCCCATGCTTTGTTTAAACATTAAAACCCTAACCGCATGATATCTAATTCGCATGCTTGCTTGAAATATAAACCTAATCGTATGATCTCTAGTTCGCATGCATTTATTCTAAAAGCGAAAATAAATCACTCAAAAAGCTTTTCCTTGTGTACCCTCCTTACGGGACCCCAAAGGTTCGGGTTAGGCTCGACCTAATTTCGGGCTCTATATTCACTATATGTGGGGTTCGGTTCTAAAGTAATAGGTTCTCAAATTGTCCTTTTCGATGCCCCTTGGGCTATCAAACCCTCAATCTTGACCCATCACAGGCTTTGGGGGATTGAGTTCAATTCGAGAGAACACATGTCCTTATGTCCATGCGGAGGTGAATACCATCACGAGTACCATAAGGCGTGAGCTCCAAGAGCGATCCACTATCCCATGAAGAGGTGAAAATCACAAGAGGGAGTAATCTCTCACTTTTACTTAAATAGGAAGGAGCGGGGTTTTAGTTCATGTCATAATAATGCAACTGTGCAGTGTGTGAGAGAAAATGAAAAATACACAATCAGACAACACTCAAATCAATTCTCAATTCACACAATTAATACGAAACCATTAGCAAACAGATCAGTACAACTATTTATTGGTTAATCAAATTACAAATCAAAATGAAAACAAAACTTATTTAAAGCCTAACAAGGGATCAAAAACCAAATTAGAACGAATTTATAACTTTCATTTGCAAAGACAATTAATTAATCGACTATCGGCCTGACTCTCTAAAAAAAAAGTCCACAGTGGAGTCACCAAGTTGTCGAAACGATTTTTCTTTAAAAGTGAAAGTGATATTTTAAAAACCAAACCATTTTTAATTTAACTCCTTTTGTTAATTTTTAATTAAAAGTGAATGTGATTTAAAAGTCTCTCGTTTTAAAAAATTCGGGGTTCTCTTTACAATAAAAAAACATACGGTTCGAGGAGTCGCCACCTATATTTGATTAGGGTGTGATTGTGCACCCAAAAACATTTTATCATTTTAAATAAAAATTAATTTTAATTAAAATAAAAAATTGAGGTCTGCCTTACCAAAATTTGAGTTCGGGAGTCGGTTACATGTGGGGAAGGATTAACACCCCCACAACGCCCTAAATCGGTACCTAGTCGATTAATTAATGTCTTTGCAATGAAATTTACAAATTCGACTTTAATTTAGTTTATGATCCCATAAAAAAACAAGGATATGAATTTTACAATGAAATATAATAATATTAAATTATTTCCTATTGAGAAGAAACAAATACCTCATAACTCAAGGCAGTTAATTCTTACTTCAATCAAAATAAAGAAATATTATAATTCCATTATAACATTCAAATGCACCAAAATAGATTAAATTAAAATTACCAAGCCTTTTAGAAAGATGAAGAATATTCAATTATTTAAAAATATCGAGACCATATCTTAGATAAGTTATAACAACCTTTTCTCGACAAATTTAAATAGCCGAACATTTCTTTTTCTTTTATTCCCAAATTTTAAGGTGATGAGACATTTTTTAGGTTTCACTGTTGGGTACACTTTCAATTTAAAATCGTCAAAAGCGGCTCTCTAATAAGTTAAAACAAACATCTTAAAAAAAATTTAAATTAAAAGGGTATTATCCTTAATTCGATTATGTATTTATAAGTCGATTGATGCTAGTGAGAGTATCATACATATTATACGAGGATGTCACATGCTCAAAATTATACGCACGAATAATTACAACCATGTATACAATTCATGAACATAATTAAGGTTAACAGGATTTAAATTTGGCTAAAGAAATATACCTATAAAAAAAGGTTTAAAATGCAGATTCTAAATGTCATTTGTACTAAATGTCAATTTAAAGACAGTATTCCACTTATCATATTTAAAATAACAAAATTAAAATAAAGGTCAAATATGCTTAAGATATATACATATGCGTACACGTTTTGGAAATAAAACACAATTAACAAATACCCTGTCTATTTGTTTACACATACGTACTATAGCCATGTTACTCATATAATTCTACACATGCACACATACTATAACAGTTTATGGCCCAAAT